TCTTCACTGTCCATAGCTGGGACAACTTTTGAGGGGAGGAAGGCTTTACTTTAGCTTTGTTCATTCCTCCTTGGAGGAGTACCTGGATTGTAGGAATATACCACTTTTCTTTCTAAGGATATTCTGTATGAGTAATGGTAAATATAAAAGCTGTATGCATTTTATAAAGAAATTTCTGCAGCTTGTATATGTTTAGGAGAATCACACTTCTATATCATTTGTGTGTGTGTCTGTTTGGTAGGGAACACCTGCACTTTCATCAGGGATTGGCAGCCTTGTGGAGAAAGCACTTCCTCCTTAAGAGAGAAGTATTTCATTAAGTGAGTGTAATTTGTGAAACCCTTTAATTGCATAAATATAAGATGGGCATTGAATATTCAAGTTGTTCTTCATACTCCCTTTTATCAACAGTGGATTTTGCACAGCATGGGTCAGAAGATATAGACAGTTCCCACGGTGGCAGTCTCCTAAATGTCCAGGCGCTTGCTAACATAATTAGTGATTTGTTGTGGAAACTGGGGACGCTTCTACCAGTAAACCCAGGATCCCTTTTCCTTGTCTTTTAAATATTCCGTAATTTCCTGACCTTAACAAGTTTTACACTTGAACATCAAGAAAGTTCTTCAACCCTAGGAATGGCAACTTTTGAAAATAGTTTTAAGATGTTTTTTTGGGTTGTGGCATCTTTGAAAAACTGGAAGACTCTCTGTTCCTGTGTTAAATCTTTAGTAACCTCTTAGCCCTTAAATCACTGATTTCTGGGGGCTGAGTGCATAGGCCAGGAAAGACTCATGCCAAACATGCTGTACTATAATAAAATTTCCGTTGATACCAGGTATTAGGCATTGTTGGAGACAGACTGCCCAGCTAGGTCAACCTGTACAGAATCATTGAGTTTGAAGACTGGGGAGGGACCTCAGGAATTCATCTACTGCAACCTTAAAGCAGGCTTCAGCACTGAGTTCAGAGTTGGTTGCTCAGGGCTTTTTTCAGTTGAATCTTGAAAATCTGCAATGGCAGATATTTCACAGCCTCTCTGGACAACCCAGTCCAGTGCTTAATTATCTTTGTAGGGAATTTTCTTTTTCCTTGTATCCATTTGGAACTTTCCCTGTTTCAATTTATGCCTGTTGTTTCTTGCCCTCCCACTGTGTACCTCAAGAAAGGGCTCAACTGTCTTCTCAGTAGCTTCTCAGGTACCAGCAGGCTGCTATTAGGTCTTCCTCTCTTCTCCAAGTTAAACAAGCCCAGTTCCTTCAGCCACTCCTCGTGGGTCATTTGCCCCATCTCAGTTCCCCTCTGGTGGACTCATTGAAGTTTATCTTTACTTCTTTCTTGTACTGAGGGGCCCAAAACTGGACGTGTATTCCGGATGTGATTTAATGAGTGCTGAGTAAAGGGGAGTAGTCACATCCCTTGACCAACTGCCCGAGCTTCTGCTGATGCAGCCCACTATGCTGGTGACTGTAGAAGTATTGCACTTGGTCTCCTTGCTGTCCTTTTTGGGTGCGTGTGGAAATGCTTCGTAAATGTCTTGCAGAATGCTGTTTATATGTTTCTTAAAGAGTGCTGTTACTTTTTTTCTTCATCTTGCCCGCTAGCAGTTAAATAATTGGCTGTACAAAATATTTGATTTTATTGTCACCAGGGACTGAGGACAAACCTTTTTGTGTCAATTCCCAATGGAAGTTACTATAACTGGTTTAGTCTGGTATTTTTCATAGACTTATTTTGCAATGGCCACCAGGCTATCTTCTAGATCTCTCGCTTTGGGCTTGCATTGAAGTTTGCCTTGTCCAGAAGCTGCAACCCAGATGCAGCAGTATTCGCCAGACATGAAGATACAGCTTATGGGGCAAAGCATGGTGTTGTCAGACACAGGTCTAATTAGAAACTCTTGAAGAGAGGAAAAGGCAGAGGATACATGGAGGAATTTCTTTTGCCCTACAGCTACCAGCTGATTTGTACGTTATTGTTGATAGCTAGCTGTTCTTAGCACATGCATTCCCTTTCAAAAAGAAGTGGTAGATAAGGGCTGGATTTCAAATGCCTTGTTACCATTAAGGCCCTCTTTACATCTCCAGGCTTTATATTCGAGTTTACTTTCAAGGTTTATAGACCGTATATGCCTGTTTTGTGCCAAAGCAGTTCTCTGTAATGAGTTGTAACTATTGTGTAATATAACAATCACATGCTTGGGATTGAATGTTTTGTTTCAAGCTGCCTGAAAAAAAGTCACAGATATGCTTTGAAAACAATGGGGACACTTCTCAACTTGCAAAATTTGTTGTGTTTGTGTCTATAAGGTCTTAAATCTTATTGCTGTAAGTAGCAGTGAGGAAAGTTACAAGTCTTGCTTAGTTGTTTATGTGTACTACTGCCTTAGATACTGGCAAAGAAAAATCAAAATGGTAAAATTAGAAAGAATTACAAGTTCACGGCAGTTTTCTTAGGAAACTTGAAGATTTT